TTGGAGGGGGACATGATGTTTGGAAGGGTGGAGGGTCAGCAAAGGAGAAGAAGATCATAAACTAGGTGGATTGACAAAGTGACTGCCTCAATGGGCTCTAGTGTGTCAGGAAGTGTGAAGATGGCACAGGATAGGACGGGGTTCAGACCTGTTGTTCACAGGGTCGCTATGACTCTATTCAACGGCAACTAACAACAACATCAACAACCCAAATTCTGTCTCAATATTACTTCTGGGTAACTCAAGCTAAGAGAAATGCTTATGTACAAGACTCACAGCATAGATTGAAGTGATCCACCTATATAATTATTTCAAATGTCTTTGAACAAACCTCCAGACCCTTACCAAGTCCCAAACTTCAAGCCCACCTATAAGTCCTTCAGGTCCTGGGTGGTGAAGGTCTGGATTAGTGGCTGAGGTGCTCTGCTTGGTCCTTGTCAGACACTGGGCTCCACGAGGCCCTGTCCATCCAGTACTCCCAGGGTGCTCAGGACTTGCCATGCTGCCAAGGACATAAGAGAGAGATTGGTCAGTGTCCGCTCACACTTGCGTTCCCAGTGGTTTCCAAGGAGCCTACGTTCTGTGTCGTACAGTCTGCTGGCAGGCAGAGGGGAATGGCAGGAGCCCAGCCACTGCGTCCTCTGCGACCCACACAGCTGCTTAATCAGCTACTAGATTCCAATGCTGGGGTTGCCCCTTTGGGTCCAATGCGGTGTGGATAGCTGGGCAGGGTGAGCAGAGTCCTACTGTGCTCTTAACAATACTTACATTATAACATTGTTGAATTGAATTTTGTCTGCTGAGTTGAATTTTCAACATGGTAATCCCAAACAAAGACAATGGCTTTGGTAATTACTTGGGAAATGACTGTTTCAGTACTTTATTTTATATTATGTATATCATGAAATCCCACTATTCAGAAGAGATAAATATTGGTATGAGTTTCTCCTGTGCAATTTCTTTTTCTCTATCTAAGCGAACATTAGTAGATGACTTACTATACTGATTTCATATCCACCTACATTCTTTACACCCGCTGTCTTATTTCACATACATAAAAGTCTATCATTGGGGGAGCTCTGGTGGCCTAGTGGTAAGGAGCTGCAACTACAATCCCAGAGGCACACGGTTCGAAGCCACCAGATGCTCTGCCGGGGAAGGAGGGACAATCTCCACCTGTACCAGTCAGATCTGATTTGACGGTACACTCACACAAAAAATAATAAAATAAAAAAAATTTTTTTTTTAAAAAAAAAAGTCTATCATTGCTCCCAATTAACAAAGAAGGAAACAGAACTGATCCCGTCATCACTCAGCTGGTGAAAATGCCAATGAGCAGAGCTTAATATGTCTCACGTGATAGTTACATGCCAAGCTGAGTACTCTGCTCTTGACATGGTCTTTCTCACCTACTCTGACCGCCCTGTGTTATAAAGATTGTTATTATACCTGTTTTGCAATAAAAGAACTGAGACTTAGAGTTGCCTAAGACCAGGAGCTGGGAAAAATGGTGGACAGGCTAGAAACTTGGTTTGGGTTGATTGCAAAATCCTCTCCACTTTCCTCAGGGGTGGAGGACATACAGATGAAGTCTTGGGGTCTTGCTTCTACAATAACTTTATGATCCATGTAAGTGAATCAGTCAAGATAGCACCTGGAAATCAACTTCTCTGTGCCTCGGGTTTCTAGAAAACAGACATCATAATGGAACCCAACTCCATGAGGCTGATGTGAGCATTACATGAGATAGACCCTTTAAAATCAGTTCAGGGCTTGGCAATACCAAACGAATAGAATAGAATAGAATAGAATAGAATAGAATAGAACAGAATAGAACAGAATAGAATAGAATAAGATTTTCTAATAGTTGATATTAAGATCCAATATGTACTGCATTGATAAATTTTGGTAAAAGAAATGTGTCAGTGTAAGTTAGAATAGATAGAACATATCTGAGACAAATTAGGGAGTGAGGTAATTTTAAAAAGCTGAGTTCTGGAAAACAATGTCTTCGAAGTTTGTAAATACACTGACTAAAAAACTAAAAAGTAATAAAAATAAAAAATTATAATAAAAAAATCAGGCTGAATGTAGTCTAGATGGAGTGAGCAGCTGGATACTGGCTTCAGCACAGAAATTTTCACTAAGGAGGATACAAGTTATCTTACCTCCTTCCCAGGAGGATACAAGGAGGAGGCCACCATGAAAAGCTGAGGCCTGAACCTCCATCTGTCTGGTTGTGGGCTCTCGCACTGAACCTCTATGCTGACTGTAGTTGCTGTTTCCCACAGGCCCCACTAGTCCCATATTGCAGCCAGAGTTTGCCCCTCAGTCCGTGCGTGACAGAGCCTGGAATCAGCCTGGCCTGGGAAGAAGTGAGGCCAGATGGGGTCAGGATCTTTTGCTTGTGTTTGATGACAGGAACCTCTGGGGAATTCTGTAGATAGCTCGCAGCAGTTGTTCCGTGAGAGTGGTGACCCTTGGTCCAAACCCACCTGTGAAAGGTGAGGAAACAGCACAGGCACAGTGTGGACTGGGCTGAGTGTATTTGAGGGCCTGACTGTATCCAACTGTCGTGTGCATACTTCATTTTCTCATCTTCCCTGAAGAAGTCAGGAGATCGAGCCTTCCATCCATCCTTACAACTGCGGGTCCTTAGGGAACTCTGGTGGGCTAGTGCTAAGTAACTGTGCTGCAATCCTGAAGTCATGTGGTTCAAATCCACCAGGAGAACAAAGATGGGCAGTCTCCTCCCATGTGATTAAACTGTTTCTGAAAACTGACCAGAGAGTCATCTATGGGTCGGTTCCAACCCGATGATACATCACAGCAACAGTAGGTAGTCTTTATAATTCCTCTAAGTCTTGGTTTCCTCACATGCAAAGTGTGCTCACAAGCCCTGTCCTGCTGATAAGATGACAGATGGTTTGAAACAGGTTACCTACATTCCGGAAGCTGCCCAGGCAAAATGGTGCGTGACCACCTGCTTTCGCGTGGATGGCATGCTTGCTTGTCTAAAGAATTCTTGACACTGAGAACCTTAGGGGACTCATGTTTCCTGAAGACGTTCCTATTCACTTACCTCAGTTAGCTCATCTATAAAATGGGAGACTGTGAATGGCGCTGGACATAATCCCAGCCCTTTTCCACTCTGTTCTCATGACAAGGCAACTGGACCAGCTTAGAAGTAGAGCACTGTTTTCCCCGAGGGCTCTGAAAGACCTTGGGGTTAAAGACTGGAGTTAGACACTCCAGCAGAAACCTGGTAAAGCTGAGCATGAAACCTAGACCTAGAATAGAAATTAAATCCAGCAGCCAAAGCCAGTGCCATTATGTGTCTACTTAATGAAAGAACAGAAGGGAGGTAGATGTGTGTTGCCATGTCCTGGGGGGTCTTGGACTAGGCCTCTACCACTGGCCCATGAGCTGCATATACAATAACAGTGATTCTTCTCCTCATTCTTTTGCCCACTGCCCCAGAGCCCTGCCATTCCCCTTCTCTGAGGGCTCCCTATATGTCCAGTTCTTCTCATGGACAGAAAGGACAGGCTTCAGAGACCTTTCACTAGGGAAGGGAGTCCAACAAAGTGCACTGGTTCCCTCTGATAGATGAGGGGATGCAGGACATTGGGTGTCCAGCTGGCTGGACACCTTAGACACTTGGACCCCTGAGAATCTTGGTCAAGTGCAGGGCCTAGAAATTGTGGAAGTGCATCCGAATCCTCTAGTGGTGAAGGGTGCAGAGCTTGGAAAGCACCCCGCACCACACTGTTCACTCCAGCACCTCTGAGGATGGACCCCAGACCCAGCACTTTTCACAAGTGCCCCAAAGCTAAGTTAATACGGGATTTCCTGGCACCACTTTTTAAGCAAACAGATATTGTGACTTGCCCCCTAGGCCTAAGCGGAGTTGCAGAATGTCTAGCATTTCTAAAGAGAAGTGGTGTTGGAGGTGTTGGAGGGATGGGTACTGACGCCTGTTAAGCCCCAGTCTCTAGAGAGTCTCACATGCAGGGGCTTTGGCCTGCCCTGCCCCCCACCACTGAGGAAGGACACAGGAGGAGGACACCCAGGCCCCAGAGAAGTGGAGAACAGTGAGCTCTCATCAAACACTGACCTGAGGCCTCTGGACCCTGTGGGTATCCAGGGGTCCGGGAGAATTGTCACATCGTCCCCTTCAGTGATCCCTTCCAAGGCTGGTGAGGAGACAAGTGACTGCTACTTCACTCAGTTCCCTGTTTGAAAACAGGAAATGGGGTTAATGACTGTCCCTGGTTGTTGTAGCTCATTGGCTGGTAAGAGATGGTGAAGGAACTTCTCAGTCAACCTGCCTTCTTCCGGGAGCTTCCTGTGGGCTGCCAGAACCACTGGCTTAGAGGTGGCGGGGCCTCCTTTTCAGTAGTCTGTCTGTGGTGTGGTTTCCTTCTGAGTCCTGGATCATACTTGGCACTTGGGCAGCGGCTCCTAAAGTGCTTTAACATCTCACCCTGTGAGACAGGCATGCTATGGTCATCTTCCACTAACAGACGGACACAACGAGCATTGGACTACAGCGCTGTCAGGATGCAGTTAGTGCCATCAATGGAAAGATAGTGGACAGACTCACAATCTCTACATGTTGCCCTTTGGATAAAGGTGCAACCAGTACACCAATGTTCATAGCAGCATTATTCACCATTGCAAGAACATGGAAACAGCCCAAATGTCCAACCACAAATGAATGGATTGAGAAATTATGGTTCACACAATGGAATACTATGCAGCACACAGGAGCAATGATTTTGTAAATTATTACCTAACTTGGGAGGGACTGGAGAGCACTATGTTTAGTGAACTAACTCAGTCCCATAAGGATAAATATTGCATAAAACTGTTATTATAGAATGAGTATAAGGAACCTGGAGGGGTGGGAGAGACTGGAAGCAGAGGGATGTGGATGTGCAGGGGGAAGAGGGGATTGATTAATCATTGGGTTGTACAGTTTGATGGGTGAGGGAAATGGAAAGAATGTGTTCAAATTTGTATTTGAATTTTGTAAATAAACTAGTAGGGGGAAAAATTCAAATTAAAAAAAAAAGATGCAACCAATGCCACCAACATCAGAAAGTGCCAGAGAAGTTGGTTTATTAGCTGGTTTGCCCCTAAGCAATGATATGATTCCAAACCACCACTGCTTATGGCCTGGTGATTGAGAACAAGAAGCTGGGATGAGACAAGAAATAGGCCCTTAGTTCTATTTTCCTCAGGGGACATTTCTAGCAGTGGAATAGCTGGGTCATACGGGATCTCTAAATTCAGCTTCCCGCCCTCCCCCCCCCGTGAGGGCCCCTCAGATTTCCAGGTGTCAAAGGTCCTGGGGGTCACTATGTCTTCCGATCATGCTAGACATCACAGGGGCTAAATTCAGCTTTTTGAGACAATGCCAAACTGCATTTCAGAGTGCTTGTACCATTTTACAATCATCTCACTAGCCGTGAATGAGAGTTCCAATCTCTCTACAT